TTCTGTTTACAGGTTGGATTGCAATGATTGCAACATGTGTTATATTGGAGAAAGTTCCCAGTATATTTATAAGAGAGTAATCAACATATTTATAATTCAAAAAATCCAACCAATTCAAAACGATGTTTTCAGATCATATGCTCAATCTCAATCACACTTTTAACACTTCACATCCTGTTATTCTTTATATCGAAAAAAATAGTGACCTTAGAAAATTTGCTGAGTCCTTTTTTATTTCATTAAATTCCTCCTCTTGTGTTAATAAACGCAATTCATCCCACCTTTTACATGATAGTTACCAGATTGTTATTGATTTTATTAAAAAAAACAAAAAAATAATTTGCTATCTCTTTTATATTATTTTTACAATATTGTTTTTTCTTGTTCTAACTTTTACATGGTTTGCTTTTTCCTTTTGATCAATTCCAGCTGAACCTTATGTTCGTTGCGTTTCGTGCCTCGAGCATTTGTCCTTGATGCGTCCCCTCCCATTCCTATCAATACGCCTATTGAAAGAATTCAGTCGAGTATGTTTGCTCGGTATGGGGTGTTTCTCTCTTCACAATGTTGCATTTCATAACTTTTAGTCAAATTAGTTTTCAAATCTTTTAGTTATTCATAATTTTTTCTAAAAAAATGTTTTTCTCTAACATGTTATTAAGTTTAATTTTTAATATAAATTTTTGTGAGTGATTTTGTCCTGTGGTGTGTATAATGTTTCTCTATGTTATAATTAATCTATATTGGTGTTTTTATTAGGTAATAAAATTTTCAATTTGTTGTAGTTGCTGAATGATGACACGCATCTTGTGTCGAAACGTAAGTTTTTACTTTATACTTTTCTTATTTCGACGAATGGGCTGCTAGTTACTTTGAAATATATATATATATATATATATATATATATATATCACATTTATTATTATTAATACTAAGGTTTAATTCAAAAAACTTAAATATTTTCATTACAGCAAAGCCATATACTAAAACATCGAATTTACATGTTATATAAAAATAGCAATATAAAATATATAGTTATAGAAAAATGTTATGAAAAAAAAATAATCAATTTTCAGGTTTAGTTTAAAAAAATTATTACAATACAAATGCTATGAGAATTTTAAGAAAAAATATTAACCATTGAAAACTATAATGAATGTAATTGATTTTCTAAATTAAACGATTTGGCGCATGTTGCAAGTTTCTTTTAATATATACCCGGACATCTGCAATATTATAAAAGCAGTAGCCTAACAATAAGTGATTTTCATAGTATTAGTTGATCCTTTCTGGCGTCAAACCTAGGTTTAAGGTACCTGCGTACGTTCGTTTTTGACAACTTTTCGTCGCAACGAACGAATTTCTATATCGTTGAATAATAACTAACTGGCCGCCATGTTTTCGACTACTTTGAAACCAGTTGATTTCAACTAGTTATTTCGTTGCGACGAAACGGTTAGTTAGTTAACGAAGAAGAAACGGTTGAAAATAACCGTTCGTTGTTTCAACGCCCATCACTACAGTGTGCACGCCGTCAGTCACAAATGGCGTTTTGAAGGGTGGAAATGACTCTTCAGTCATTTTAAATATTGTTTTTACTTATTTTTAACCCTTTAAGTGCCTTAAGTGTGATGTGGATCGTAGCGTAGACATTCCTTAATCAACTTGCAGTATTTTTGTACTTAAATTGTGTAAGTATATTGTGTAAATAGTATAATTTTGATACCGTTAAATCTGTATGACGTTTGTAATAGACAAGGAAAAATAATTCCTTGTAGATAAAAGAAATTGTATAAAACTTGGTAACATAAACCTTGATTGTGGTAAAATTTATGTATATGCATTTATTTCAGTTTTATCTTATGTTATTCATAAGTTTTTATGTTTTTTTGAAAAGTTAGGTTAGGACGTATTAGTCATACAATAATAAATGTAGTACTGTTTGCAAAAGATCTTAATGCAAATTAAATATAAGAATTTTTTTAATAAAAATGCGCCATGTACTACTTATTTTGCATTAACATCAGTTTTTAGCTTGATATAAACTATGAGAGGCTCTACAAACTATTAGGTTGATATAAAATTATTATTGTTCTGTGTATCGGTATTCATTTTTATATTTATGGATGTCTAATTTTGTGCAATATATAATATATATATATATATATATATATACTCAATAATAAAAATTAAAAGTATAATTATATATTATATATTTATATTACTATTATTATATCTGGTACAATGTTACCTTTCTCCATTTCAGGTGTTCCATTCCATTATCAATCATAAAAATGCCTATACTAGCAGCTTCCGATGACAGCGCTGAGATACGAGTGAAGACTGTGTATCAAGGCGATGTTATGATCACTTACATCATGCCCAACATCACATTAGACGAGCTGTGCTCGGAGATGAAGGATATTTGTAGATTTGCTAATGACCAGGTAAGAAAATCAAACATAGACATAGTAAGAGACTATATAATTAGTCTTGAGAATTCTTTTGATCAGTTAGATAAATTAACTTTATAATCTGAAAGAAAATTTCTGAATAATTAAGTTTACTTCTTTAATTACCAAGTCATTATAATCCAGAACTTCTAACTAAGAATTTCAAACCTAAATTGATGTAATTTTTTTATAACATTTTCAATAAAGTATATGTACTTTGAATTAATGAATTAACAATAATCTATACGTCTATTGTAATTATAATTCAAAACAATAATCAATTAATTACAGATTCCACTAGTTTTTATATAATCAGAAAATATTAAAAACTATCAGTTAGACATAATTATCATTTTAACAATTAGTGTTTTTTTTTTATCTTTGCAGGTGTTCACAATGAAATGGGTAGACGATGAAGGTGATCCTTGCATAATTTCAACACAATTAGAACTTGATGAGGCTTTGAGGTTGTACGAGTTGAATCGGGATCCTGAGTTGATCATCCATGGTAAGTGGTAGTTTGTAATATGTATACATTTTAATACACACACACACATATATATATGTATATGTATATATGTGTATATATATATGTATATGTATATATATATATATATATATATATATATATATATATATGAGTGAGTTCTTGAGGGCGATACATCAAACAAAGAAAAGCCAAAGATTTATAAAATAATCTTTATTTCCAAACGTTTCGACATTCAATTTAATGTCATCATCAGTGGATCTAAAAACAGTATGAAAATTAGCATATCTAGGTAATTATAATATATGTGGATTGGTAAAGTAACTATACAATAAGAGAAAAATTAACAAATAGCAACACTTAACAACAAATCAAATATAAAAGATAGGAAAGGTAGTAGAGACTAGAATCAAATAAATAATTAAAAAGTATAGGCAAAAATATTTAAGTACACTCATATAAACTTACGCATATATACATATATGTACGTACACATACACACATATACATATATATATATACATATATATATATATATATATATATATATATACATGCATATATCCATATACACACACATACAAACATATAATACACATATACATATACAGATACAACAATATATACCTATATATGTACACATATACATGTAAGACTATACACATATAAATATACGTATATACATATATGCAACGTGCATGCATATTCACAACGACGTACATGTACATGTATGAACCATACATATACTCATACCTATCTATGTAACTATAGCTATACACGTATACACATACATATACGCATAAACATGTATATACACATATATACACACATATATATATGCATATATATACATACATATATATATACACACAATACATATATATATATATATATGTATATGTATGTTATCAGCAAACAAATACAAATCATATAAATATTAGAAAACAGATGAAGTACTATTAATAGTTAATACAATAACACATTTTTCTTTAAATAAAAGCTAAATTTTGTGATTAAGAAATAAACTTTGGCAATATTTATTGATCAAAACTTTCATGCAATTTATTTTTATAACAAAAATCAATAAAACCAATGAATTAGTTTGTGATAAATGAGCATATTACAAATTATTAAATAGCCACATGACTTTTAGCCTTATGAATGAGTTATACAGGACATATAGTAGATGAAAAATAATTATTGTTCACAATTATTAAATCAATCTTTTATTTTTTCAAATGGATATTTTCAATCGATCAGAATCTCAAGACTGAATGAAAATATTTGCTGACTGTATATAATGTTTAGAAGAATTTCTACAGTGAGAAATCTTTGTTAATGAATATATTAACTAGTCAACTTATTATTTTTTAATATTCATCCAGAAAATATTAGATAAATCCATTATTTTTTTTATTTTTGATTTGTTTTTTTTGACTTTCTTCATTTTTTAACTTGTTTTATGCTGAAGTCTTCATGAATGATTTCATTGATCACATACCATTGTGAATTTATTTTAGACCTAACCTAATTTTATTTGGTGCCCTTTGTATGCTGGATTCGTTTTCACATACCTAAAACCATGAGTTCACTTTCGAACTATTATTACCTTTTTATAGAAATTGTGTAAATAAAATTTCAAATTGGTTCAGCAGTCAGGAGTTCATTTGAGACAAACATTGTGACATGTGTATATATATATATATATATTTAACCTGAACCATACTTTTAACATGTCCAATTCTACCATCATATATATTGAAAAGAATTGACATTAGAAAGATAGTTGGGTTGTTACTTATATCCCTTAATACTTCTTGTGTCAACAAACGGAATTCCTCCCATCTTTTACATGACAGTTACAAAGTCATTATAAATTTCATGAAGAGCAATTCTTTAGAGTTCTTAAGCTTTCGTTCGTTATATCTCTTCTCCTCTTTTGTTTCTTACGCCCCGCAACCACTCACTCTACCGCACGTGCCGCGTAACCCTGAATTCATTTATGTTACTATGCACAGCGAGCATGCAAGTTTAGTGTTTAATAAATTTTATATAATTTTTTTTTTGAGTTTTTTGTGTTTTTTCTGGTTTGTTTACTGAATGATGACACACACAAGTGTCGGAACGTTTAATAGAATAAAGGATTTTTCGATTTTAATCTTTATTTTAATTCGACGATTCGGCTGCAAAATATTTCATATATGTATATATATATATATATATATATATATAAATTAATTTTATATCTGGAGGACTCTCTTAAAGAGCACTTGGTGTGTAATTTTATTATAAAATTTCCAATCTTATCTCTGAAAAGGCGAGCTTTATGTTTGATTGTCTGTCTGTCTGTCTTGGAAATTGATTGACTCTATTAATAGATAGTAGAGTACTAGAACGACACATATGTATGTAGATGGATTTTGTGCATGTGCTTCTCACATTGAATACTTGAAACAATTGCTTTGGTAATATATATATATATATATATATATATATATATATATAATATAAATATACATATAATGCACTTGTTCTCAATCTACAACTGAATTTAAATATCTAACCCCTTTTGATACTATAATCCTACGATTGCTTATTTAGCTTTCTGAAGGCAGTACTTCATGATGTTGCCAAAAATCTGATTTACTAATTTTGTTTCCTCGACGGTTTTTTTCTCTGTGCAAATTTACATGATCATTAAAAAATGCTTGTATTGCACAAAATATTTTATTAAAATAATTTAGTTGTTACATTGTTGTTAGTTGTTAAAAACTCAATTAATTTGAAGATTTTAATGAATCTTTGGACAATGTTAGATTTCTATTAACGACTATAACATACATTGGGTACTCCATGTATGTCCTCAGAACATAATTTTTAAAATTTGATATATTTGTTGAGTATAATTACTGGTAAATTTACACCACCATTTTCTTATTGATTAAATCGATCATTTACACATGCCAGGAGGTTTGTACAAATACCACTTACGCCTAGTTTATGTTTCGTTCTTAATAATGTTGAGAATCCTTTGTAATGTCACGATATATATTACATAGGGTACTCTATGTATGTCCTCAGGATATAATTTTTAAAATTTGATATATTTCTTGAGTATAATTACTGGTAAATTTACACCATCATTTTCTTATTGATTAAATCGATCATTTACACATGCCAGGAGGTTTGTACAAATACCACTTACGCCTAGTTCATGTTTCGTTCTTAATAATGTTGAGAATCCTTTGTAATGTCACGATATATATTACGATATGTATATATCTGTTTGACCAATTGACTTCTGTAATGAATATTCGTTTGAAAAATAGTGCAAGTGTATTGAGCTCTTTTCACACTAGACTAAGTTTGCTGTCATTCATCAATTAAATCTTTCCAGATTTTCTTTTAGGCAATCAAAAATAAAACATATAGGTGAATGTATCCAGATTTTTTTGCATTCTAACTAATTAATAACGATGACTCGGCTCGTGTAATCAAACTGGAAATTTACTCTTTCTAATTTGTGTGCCAATTTGTTAAAATATAATTAGTTAATCCGATTTTTCAGCTAAAAAAACTGGTTTGAATAATCAGAAATTTATAAATCTCTTTATCTGTAAACACATCGAAATTGAAATAGAATACTTTTAATTCTAGTTGTTGCCTTTTTAACTTCCCGAAGGAGTTTTTGTTTTCATCAAAAAATCCGATTTGCTAGTTTTATGTTTTCTCGACGTTTCAGGCCATTCTGAATCGAATGAGACCAAATTTGGAAAAAGTATGTGTGTGTGTAAACAGGTTTTTGACATTCGTCAATTTTTTTCTCAAAAATGGCTGGTCTTTGGCAGAGATTAACTACTGTAAAAAAATTTAAGCCTATTTTTATGAATTTTTTTGGCGATATACGAGGTCTGTTCAAAAAGTACCCGGAATTTTCGTTTTTTCAAAAAAATATTTATTTATTCGTCTACATTAATGTGGTCCCCTTCAAAGTAGTCCCCCCCAGATATAATACACTTATGCCAGCGTTTTTTCCAATTTTCGAAGCACCCTTGATATTCACTTTTTGATATGTCCTTGAGCACTCTCAGCGATTTTCTTCAATCGAGGAAAACCGCCGTCCTTTCATGGGTCTCTTCAACTTTGGGAATAGGAAAAAGTCACACGGAGCCATATCTGGTGAATTTTTGCACTTTGCAACACTTTATTTCATTTTTTACGCAAAATTTAATACAAATTCTTTGACTTTTCAATTCTTCCATTGTAAAAATCGCCGAGCTCAGAAAAACACGTCGAACCTTAGCGGCTACCACAGACAAAGTAAACAGTGAATATAGCTGAAAATTTCATCATACTTTAGGGGCATGTATACCAACACAATAAAAAAAAAATTTTGACAATCAGACACTCCAGACCCGCGAAATTTAAAAATTCCGGGTACTTTTTGAACACACCTCGTATATCATGTTCTTATAGAACGTACTGAAATATTACGGCCTTAAGAAAGTAGTTTAATTTTAAAAATTCGTCTAAGTTTGAGAAAATGAGTAGTTTTTTTATGACGTTTTGTGATAGAGTACTTGGTCTTAATGAACATACTAAACCATTAAAGTTCTACGGTTCAATTATAAAAATTATTGATTTTTGAAAATTTGCTTTTAAAAAATACTCCGAGTTAACGTGTTCGTTCGTTTTCAATTATGTGTAATAAATCCACTAGGAATACTTTTCATTTCTCATAGATTAATTTTTTTTTTATTGATTAAGTCGATTATTTACACATATTGGAAAGTTCATGTAACTTGCCTCAAGGCAAAATACCAATATCAACCAGTTTAAGTGGTATTTACAAAAACTAGGATACACTTCTATGGCAAATCTACGTAGTATCAATTTACGTCGCGTTTTTTTTGGATATAATATTTTTTAATAGTTGTAGTGAAAATTGTAATTATTACTAATTAACATTACGAAGGTGGGGTTGATCCGACTTACATAATTTTATGTATTAATTTTAATTT